TCTGAAGCTGGAGGGCCGGCTTCAGTCACACAACAACGGGCGGTACAGAGGATAGAGTCGACAGACATCGGCCTCGGTAAAATCGGGGTCCAAGCCCAAGAAAATGACATGGGGACTTGGTTCTGAGGGTTGCAGTCGTTTTTTGGGGAAACCGGCGGCGCCACCACGGTATTGTTCCGAAGCAGAATCATAGGCGCTCTCCGAGTAAGCCTGAGAGGCCTCGTAACCCTGCCCAAAGTGTGAAAGACGTGGAGCAGGAGTAAACAGTATGCCGCACGCCTGCATTGGTTTTCCTGCGCTTTCCGTCTGAATAATAGTCTTCGTCTCTCGGGTGGACGGCTGGGGTGTTCCAGGGCTGCTGCTGCCCCCAGGCGGACTTGCCCTGGTCCCATTCGCGATTGTAGGCCATGAGTGTGAGAACAAGAACAAATTGATGTGATTCCTCTTCAATAAACACTCTCTCCATGGGCGGCCACGCCCACGTCAAGATCCAGGATGGTGCAATTGAGCGACAATCGTTCATGGTAGTCCTTTGATACCCTTCGTTCCACCTTGCTCATCACGGGTCCAGCGCGAGGAGCAATATAAACATTTCCGCTGGACGAGACAGACAGTCCGCTCTTCGATGTGGGGCGTAATTCTGGTGCCCGTAGGCCTCTTTCTTCTCGTAAGCGCAAACCAGGTCGGTACCAGTCTCCCTGCCGCGTCACGCACTCACGGTTCGTAGAACAAATGGGATTGGACTGCGAAGCGGAAGGACCAGCCTTTGGCCAAATCATGATGTATTTTAGATCCTCTTGCAAAGCTCTATCGCAACCTTGCATCCCGTCCCCACAATGCTACTCAAAAGTGCATGCGCTGGCGCCCTCTGAGCATCATTGTCGACGGCAATATCCAGATGCTCAAGTTCGTCGTCTCTGAATTCGCGTATCACGTCCCGCAGCAATGGGATGCTCGGGTGCTCGGACGGCAAGGATTCCATCTCCTTCAATTGGCTGTCAAGTCGTGAACATTGGCTGGGAGGGTGGACAAAGTTACGCACTCGTCATAATGCTCGCCGATGACGGTTTCGACTGCTTCTGTGCAAGCCATCGCAGCTTCCTTGCCCATGAGGGCGGTCACTGCACCTAGTCCAAAGCCAGCCACTTTGGCGACATCTGAGAGCAGCGTTGGCCGTACTCGGTGCTGCACCTGTAGCTTGTCCATGACCTCGAGATGCTTCTTTTCCTGGTCCCACATTTCCTAGCACGACATTCAGTGTACAGGCCTGCTTTATTTCATTACACGTACCTGAATGAGTGGCCTCAAGGCCCGATTCCGTCCAAGTACAGACATCTGGCCCATGTATATGTAGTTGGCGGCAATTTCGCCGGCCTGGTCGACGCGAAGCGCGCTGTCCAATTGCTGTCTTTGGACATGGGTGATTGTGGGGGTGGTGCAGACAGCGGCATCTTTTGCCCTCGACGGATTCAAGTAAATAGCAGAGCTATACGCTCGCCTGACGGTCGTGGATAGCCGCATGAGTGGCGCGCAGCGCGACGTTGACTTATTTGTTAGTGTTTCCGTGCTTTCGTCTCAACTCTTGCCTCCCAACCAACTGAAAAGCGCGTTCTTTTCATGCTTGCTCCCCCCACTGACTAACTGACTGGCTGAATCAAGTTCTATATGCCTTCGTACGTCTCTTCCAGGCCCATAGATTGGTGCTTACTCTTCCCAGTTTCACGCCCACCACACCCGTTAACATGTCCAACGAAAAGGTACTGCACAGTTTCCTGCCCGCCTCAGTGGTTGATGTGTCCAACAAGGATTGGCCGGCCAACCTGGGTTTGAACGCGTTCTCCTCGCAAGAAACACGTGGTTGAATGTTCTGAACAGGCATGCTCGACTGGGACTCTACCAACATCGTCTTCACGAAGCGCTCACTTATGGAGTTCCTCAAGTATACTGGCACCACCGTAGACACCAATTTCGCCAATATTCAGGTACACGTGTCGCATCCAGCGGCTCACAATCTGACCTTTTAGTTCAGAAGTTGCCCAGTTAGTTTCATTACGATTGCATATCCCCCAATAAACGCGCTCCAGAATACGCAAAGTTTGGCAAAATATCCGATGGAGAGGGCGAGTTGCCTGTGGCGGGTACCGTCGCGTCCAGTAGGTATAACATCCAAACTCGAACTTGCTCACGGCTTCATAGTTTAGCCTCGGTGACGCCTTCCCCATCGACCGACTTTAAGCCCACCCGACGCGTCCGTGAACTCCCCGGCGGACCTCGAACCAATATCTTTGCAGACGAAGACGTTCCTGACGCCCTATCCATGGCACCACCCAAGGTGGATACTCCGACGCCTGCACCCACTCCAGAGAAAGCACCGGCCCCGGTCGTGGCTGAAAATGAAGACAACGCCCAATCAACTACTGGGATAAAGCCAAGCAGGTGAGGAAACCCTCGTTGGGCCGAAATATTCCCTGACTTGCAATAGACGTGTCCGAGAGGCTCCCGGTGGCAACAGCAGCCTCAATAGTTTCTGGGGCTCCGATGAACCTGAGGAATTCAAACCAACGCGCCGGTAATGTAATCCCTCTGGCTTTGCAAACTGCACTCATCTCTTGTAGTGTACGTCAGGCCCCCGGAGGTGGTGTTTCGGGCGTAAGTTGCTCACTGGGCCTCCCATAACAAGCTGACTCTGTTGCGCAGTTATTTTGATTTTTTTTTCTATGGATAGAAACGAATGTACAACAAAGTATCTTGGAAGTTTTCTCTTTGCCATCTTGCTGCACGGATGCTGTTTCGCCGGCGGTTGCATAGAAGGACCTGGGTGCCTTGGAATCAGCGGAGCGTCGGGACAAATTGGCGATAATAAGTACCCTCCAGCGAATCGCCCAGTTTTCCAGTCACCTCGGTGCTTCCGAATCTAGGTTTACCGTCTCAACCCGGGTTACCCATTGCTCCGCTCTCGGTCTGCAACATGGTGTATGTAGTTGTAGCTTGTTAGCCAACTCATGGGCCGGGGATGCTAAGCGCTTAGCGAGCAACCTGTTCCGTAGTTTGTATGTGTCTGGCCGCCATCAGGCGCGCTTTCGTCCCGACCACAACGAAGTCTCGCGCCGCTAGTCTCCACCTCTTCAAAACACCCTCAATCCTGCACGGTTGTCCACCACTGCTGTCCCACTGCTCCGAAATCCCAGACGAAGGCCGCGGACGTTGCGCAGGTTACCTTTGGCGTGAATACATTGGCATCGACGCGTCGGAGGCCACAGAGGGTGCATCCTTCGCGTGGCTCTGAGAGGTGGGTGGGTTCTCGATTATCGTACCATCTCATGGTTTCCATACCCGAATCCGCCCTTTCACCATTCACGGCACTCCCATGTCCCTGCCAGCACACATCTATCTCGAACCCGTGGCTCTCGTTCCAACGGTCCCCCCTCGTGATCTCGAGTTTCTCATCCTGCCCAGCAACCTTGGCGTGTATTTGCTTTCGCGATCCCGCCAAGTTACGTACCCTTTTGGCTCTCATGCCACCGTCCCAGCACACCGCCCATTTCGCAACCAAGACCCAAGCGTGAAGTTTGACCAGCAAGGATCGAACTCGGCACTACTTGAAGATAGGGGCTTTCGTTGCAAAATGCACAATGAAACACAGCCTCTAATCCAGTCTCCTGTTTTCAAGCCCGTATAACGGAGCGAGGCATATTCAGGGAATGAAACGAAGCACGACACTGCAAGGGCCACGGCTGTCTCAATGCTCCCAGAAGAAGGCGGCAGGCCTCGGACGTTGCGCAGGTTCAGCGTGAATAGAGACTGCGGGGTTGAGATTGACGTGTCAAGGGTTACAGAGGGTGGAGGAGGATGTATAACCGCAACGCATCCTTCGCGTGGCTCTGAGTGGCGAGTTTTCAACTATCGTACAACCGTCCCTTTTCACCATTCACAAGTCGTCCCGTTGGCCCGTGGCTCTCGTTCTAACCATCCCGCTTGGCGAACTCAATACGGTTTTGCTGAGCCTCTCGATCACGTCCAACCCTTCAACTTTTCGGTTGCCGCTCTGAGCCAAGTCTCCCGATCTCACGACGCGCTTTGTTTTGAGTCAAGTGACTCGAGTCTCGCGACCCCGCCCAGCAACCCGGTTTTCTGCCTTCCCAGCAGACACTTTCGCTCTCATGCCACCGTTCAAGCACACTGGCCCTTTTTTTTTCCCGATTCAGCGGGTGCTTTCACAGCTGATCGCGGAAAAAATCCGAAGCAAGGTTTGAACTCAACCAGTCTTGGTACCGTGTACATGCCGCTGACGGGCAAAAATAAGACATTGAAAATACCACAACTCAAGATGGGACATGCGTTCAGTCTGGCCAAAGAGTTGGATCTTCATGCATGGGAACTCTGAACTCAGTTGGACACGGGCAAAATTCTGTCAAGGTACCGTGGTTGAGATCAGCCCTCATGATTCATCATCTGACTGTGATCCAACTTCACACAATGGGGTAGCCACAGGGGGTGCCGTGCATCCTTTGTGTGGCTTCAGTGGTGAGTTTTCTGTCCATTGTTTTTGCTCCACTCTTCTTGCTTTGGCTTTCAAGTACTTAATTCACAGCCAATTGCAAAATCCTCAGCTGAGCAAGGATCAAACTCACACTGGCAAGCAAGCAAGACTTCCTCCAGGAGCCCTATACCAATCTTAGTCTTCCAAGAAACATCTGCCGAGGGTTTGGGGTTCTAGATGTCTCTACATGTTACGCATAATCAAGGACCAACTAACCTTCCCCAGCTGTGGAAAGAGGTGTTTGTATTGTGTTTGTATAAACAACAGGGACGTCAGGGCAGAGTAGTCAGTGGAGCGGGGAGAGCAGACGTGGACCGTGGTAAATACTCATCATGATCAATGGGTTGTGTGACACATGGAGCTGTCACTGTCCTTAATCCTGTGGTGTCAATTGCAGGAACGCTAAGTAAGAACTTACAGGGTGCAAAACAAGCGGAACTGCTGCCCAAGGAGAAAAAGCTGGCCGAAGCGAGGATCGAACTCGCGCGGGTGTAGACCCATCAGGATTTACGCGGTCAGGTGACCTTATCACGTGACAGTCGGCTTAAATCTGACACCTTAACCACTCGGTCATCCGGCCGTTCTGGGCCTGCAGTCAGATGGGGTTTGGATCTAAAAATGTGTGGGTTCTCTTTCTTTACCTACAATACAAGATCTAGAAACTATCCCGGCGCCACCCAAGACTGTGGGGCGGCGGAGAATGTAGAAGCGGACAAGGCGGGAGAAGCAGTTGGCGCAGGGCTGCTCATATTATCAGTGTTGAATAGTAGCAGGAACAGAACCGTACGTGGCATTTTGAGAAGCTACAGTCATGGATGTTTCGGCGTTGATTTGCAAAAAGCCAGCCTGCGCAAGAAAATCCCAAACTCTGGCCGTCTTGTTGACATCAATCTTGACCAAATCTCGCGCTTCTCGCCTGCGCAGTTTCCCCCCTCGACGGGCATATTCGCGGACAAGAGTCTCCTTGACCACGAGATAGGGTTTGGGGAGAATGCGCAGCTGCGAGCAAAGTGTTTGCTCGGCAGCCGTAAGAAGGTGAAGAGATGGGCTGTTGGCAAGGTTCAAGGGAGCTAAGATCCGCTGTGAGAAGGTGCTATCATATAAATGACAACATACCGCGTTTCCTGGCATTGACAATGCTCTCCAATTTCGGTGTCGCTTCGCGGTCGTGGCTCTTTCTGCCCTCTGGAGCAGTACTTGAGCGATCGGGGCCCATGGATTGTCGCTTTTGCTTCTCGGATGTGTGGTATTCTCGAGGGTTGCTCTTCACCTGAGTCTGCAAGGAATGACCTTTCCACACAAGGAATAAAGAGTCTATACGAACCCGCTTCGCCAAGTCATTCTGATACTTGTCGATATCAGCTGCCGTCGTGAGACCTTGTTTACGCCAGTGCTGCAATTCTGAAATTCTCTTCCGGAGCATGGCTTCGTCTGAATAATGTTGAACGGTGGATAATATAAAACGGGAAACGACGCACACAAAATGTCCGTAGAGAACGCCTCGTAATCTTCGGCTGATTGCAAACGCGCAAAAGGTCGCAGACGGTGTAGAATGTCCTTCTCTTCCTTCTGCCTCTTCTTTTCCGCCGCTTGCATCTGCAAAGTATCAGACATGTCATGCGAAACCGATTAACGCACCTTTTTGTACTCCAAGAGGCTTCTATCAAACATGAACGCTTTGCTCTCCAAACGTTTCTCGACGCGCTGAGCATATGTTTCCAGGAGGGTAAGCTTGAACGCCAAAGAGGCCCTTGTTTCAACCGGAGGCAGCTGAGTGGCTTCCTCTTCTTCGTCGGCTGCACCGTTGGCCATGACCACGTCTTCCGACTTTACGCCATCACCATTAGGTAGCGGACCCTTGCCCGACTTGCGCTCAGGAACAAACACAGAGCTGGGAACGAGTCCGTTTCTCTTGTCTTCCTCCCACTTGATCCGTGCTTTGACGTCTAAATCATTCTCGTCCTCGATAATCTGGTCGCCACCATATTCGAGGCAGACGCCAAACTCGAGATCCTTGACGAGATCCTCGGCTTCGTTGTCTAGTTCGTGCTCAAACTCCAGGCGGCCAGGAAGAAAGGTGGCAACTTCGTGTATGCCCGGCGCAGATGTTGGCGCAACCTTTGGCGGAGGAAGGGGGAGCGCGTTCATGGCTGCTATCCGCCGCCGCTTCCGCTCCTGGAACTCTTCCGGTGCAATCTCGAATTCGAGGTCCATCCGCGGGAGTGGCCATTCCGGCGAGTCCACGTAGACGTCGTTATAGTGTTTCTCTACCTCTTCCTTGGTTTGGGTACCAACGTGCTCGGCGATCTTCTTCCAGTTGCCGAGACCTTGGCTTGCTATGCCTTTGATGAGGAGTAGTTCTCTGGTACAATGAGCAGCGTAAGGACCAGACTTAAATTTGGCTCACTCGTCGGCCCCCCAGTCCTCGGAGAAGATTGGATAGGAATTGAATTCCTGGACCAAGCTAAATTGATGAATGGCGCCTAGAGTGGGCACTCACAATGACACGATAGGAGTGGCCTCTACGATGTTTCCCAAATTCTTTGCCCGCGCAGAAACAGGTGGGGCAGATATCGACGCCGTCCTCGGACTGGCAAGCGGGATCGGCGCATTTTATGCGAATGGTGTGAGTGAGATCACACGCGCAGCCATCGCATTCAAATTGGACTCCCGGCTCATTCACAGCTAGAGACACGTTCAATGGACGCGAAAGGACGTGAATTGGGTCAGACTTGCGTGCAACTTCATCGGGTTGAGCTGCCGGCTTGCGGTGGGTGACGGTCATTTACTAGTTTTGATCTGTTTGATCGGCCTTTGCATGTACAATCTTTGTGCACTCTCCTTGCGACTTTCTTCTCGTCATTTGCATTTATCCCGGCTGGAGATGGCCCAAGCCATGACAGTCCATTTTTTGGGAACTTCTTCCGGTGGCGGCCCAAGCGAGTCGCGCAACTGTTCATCCCTCGTCGTGGATTGTCTCAAGACCGGTCAACTCTGGAGTATTACTGTCCATTGGCCAACCACGCGTACTAATATATTTCAGTGGTCGACTGCGCAGGTAGAGTCGCTCTTTACGCCAAGTCGGGTCATAAATGTTGTTAGAGGGCACCACACGCCAATTCGCTTTCCAACCCCACGACACACCACTCTGGCTCAAGCCCCAGAACGTTTCCAAAATGTTCATTACCCACCTACACGCAGATCACATTCTCGGAATCACCGGTTTCCTGCGCAACGTTTTGTTTGCTCCTTCGATTGACCCAAATGTCGTTGTGCCGGCGAATCCGACGCCAAGAATTGAGATCTATGGACCCGCAGGTATTCCACTCTCTGATAAACAGACCCTATAACATATTGGTCAGGTATTCGAAATTTCGTGCGCTCGACGTTGATCATGACTTTGACTTCAACGGCGGAGAAATTCGTGGTTCACGAACTGTTGAGTACGGATGACGCGCCCACCCCGTGTAGCCCAGAAGTGATGCATTCGAGTGAGCTCGTCGGCCGAGACATTCATTGCACTGAAGATGGCTTCTGGAGAAACTTTACCCAGGGCGAGGGCGTGTTTGGGGATGTCGTGGTTGACGCTGGGCCTATTTTACATCGTGGTAAGTCTTTTTGCCTGCATGTAGACGTGCCTTATGCGTGCAAAGACCCATGTCTGGGGTATATATTCAGAGAAACTGGAGAGCCTAAGCGGAAACTCGTAATTCTAGGCGATACATACGACGCCGACCCCATCATTCCACTCTGCAGAGAGGCATCCTTACTCATCCACGAAGCCACCGAGGCGCACATTCCTTCTGAGATCAACCCACAGTACAAGCGGTCACTAGAGACCGTTCAACGCGTGGCGCTGGCACGCGGACATTCCATTCCCCAACAAGCTGGCGCGTTCGCAAAGACCATTGGGCTGAAAAGCTTGTCTTGAATCACATCGGAAGCAGGTAGCTCCTTTCGCTGCTCTTTTTTTCCATTAATGACATTGTGTCAGATTCCCCGCTCCTCGTTATGAGCGTGACAAGCGGGTGAACGTTATGCGCGAGATAGAACGTCAAGCGACAGAAGCTTGGGACTCTGGGCGAAATGCCATCGCAGCTTATGATTTCATGCGCGTCGCTGTACCGGCCCCAGCTTCGATGGCTCATGCTTCTAGGATGCAACAGGTTTCATATGCGGATCCAAGCGAGGGCCTCGTGTACGTGGACAAGAGGAGCAACAAGAGGAAGCGGTGAGCAAAAGCGATTGGCAGAATTTGACTTTTTTGGCACGATAATTAGTGTAGCACATAAACGTTTCATGAATAAGAATAAGATGTAAGTTTAAGCCCGGTTCTCAAGGCATATCTGTTGTCTTTTCCTTGAACGCGATACTGCTTTTGGTTCGGATCCATTGCCCGTACCTCCACAAGAGGAATGGAATTGGAGCACAAGCCAGGCCGAGAGCACCAAGCACAACCATGGCGCCCATGTCACCCAGATGCGAAAACATGATTGGCACCGTTAAAGGCATGGTTGCAGCACAAACGGAGCGCAGCACGATGGTGGATGCGACGGCGCTAGCAAAGTAGACGTCGTACGTGTCCATGAGGTACGATGTTAAACTCTGCAGAATGGCCGAGATGCCGATGCCGAAGACCGCGCTTCCAATAACTGGGATGAGCCAGTGGACAGAAGGAGACACACTGCTGCTTCGGGCATCAAGCTAGGACACTTTTTGAACCGACCAAGAAACTCACAACGCAAACCAAAACAGTCCCAAAGGAACCAGCGCACCGCCGAACATGGCTTGATGCAGCCGACTACGAGACGTCAGAAGAGGAAGGAGCTGCAGAAGGGCGCAATACGTACGCTTCGGGTGCAGCACGCTTTGTTTCGCTTTTCTGGCTAGCCCTGCAGTATATTCTGTTTTGTATAGGAGTTGATGCCAATCCAAGCAGGATTCCGATGCCTAGACCGCAGAAGACGAGCCCACCCTGCGCGGAGGTGAAGTGATGGTGCTGCTGGAAGACAATGGGAAAGGCAGCAAATAGAGAATATAATGAGCCATAGGCGAGGGCGATGTAGAAACCGGTACAGAGCACGATCGGTTCGGTGACAAGAAATACTACGAGAATGAGATCGACAGGAAAAAGAAAGCGTGTATAATAACAGACCGAAGGGACGGGCAAAGTCCGAAAACATGGTTCGCGACGCGGAGAATTGATCATGTATGGAGACGAAATGAAGGATGCCGTTGGACTGCCGAGTGAGTTTGCTTGCTCGGCGACGAAGCAACACGGGAGCGTACTTGCAAAAAATGAGACACAAGAAACCTTGAGGAGCAAGGATCGTTACCGTTTCGGGCGTCAAGACGGCGCCAGTAAGTAGTGACAACGCGGTGAATATGAACTGAAGCCAGAAATTGAAGCGCCAGCCCAGAGTTGTGACAACATAGCCGCCAACGACTGGAAATTGTTGATCAGTTGGAGCTGGAAAGAGAAGCCAGGGCACAAACTAGGGCCAATTACTTGAAAACGGGTCAATTGGATAAAAAGAAGCAGCAAAGCAGACTGACTTGGACCGAGAAACGGAAATGTAT